CACGAGGTCAGGCCGGTGTCACGGGGTCGGGCTGGTGTCGCGGGGTCGGGCCGGTGTCACGAGGTCAGGCCGGTGATGTAGGGTCAGGTGGTGTCACGGGGTCAAATGGTGTCACGGTGTCAGGTGGTGTCACGAGATCCGGCCGGTGACATAGGGTCAGGCGGTGTCACGGGGTCGGGCTGGGGTGGGGCCGGAGCCGAGGCACAGGCCGGTGTCACGGGACAGGCCGATGTCACGGAGCACGCGCACACGCAGGCCCACACCAGACCGGGACGGAGCTGGCGCGCGGTACGGTTTCGCCAACGTCAGGGAGCGACTGGCCAACACAGCACCGCCAAACAGTAGATACACATCAGCGTAGCCCAGCAGCGGGCACCGGTCCCTCACCGGCGTCCCTGATGTGCTGCAGCGTGACCTCGGGCGGCAGCGGCTGGGCGGGCGGCGCCTGACCCGGCGGCCGGCTCTCGCCCAGCGCCTCGCGCTCTTCGCCGGCCTCCAGCCGCTCCTGGAGGGCGGCAGCCGCCTGGCGCGCCGCCAGCAGCTCGGCCGCCTGACCGTCCAGCCGGCGCTGCAGCTCGGCGGCGCGGTGCTCGGCGCGGCGCGCGCGCTCCGGCTCGCCGCCGCCGGCCGCCGCCTGCAGGCGCGCCGCCGCCTCGCGCACGCTGCTGCACGCGCGGCAGCTGGCGGCCGCGCTCGGCCCAGAGCACCGGCCCCTCGTCAGGCGCCAGCGCCTCCAGCACCATGCGGTCGGTTGCCTCGGCCTCCGGGTCAGCGCTGCGGCCGGGCGGCGGCGCCGGCCGGTACAGCCGCTCGGCCGTCTGGTAGTACTGGCACAGCACGCGCACCAGCCCGCCCAGCTGCTGGATCTGCTCACTCTGCTCCTCACTGCAGAGCGAAGATTAGTGATTGGTTGCGCTGGATGGCGACCGTGCACAATTTCCGTTACTAGAGCTTTATTTGGGTCCGGGTCCGCATTGCTGCCGTGCTTGCTACTACAATCGGGGGTGTGAGACACACACAGTTGGGCTCCAAGTGAGTTCAACAACGTAAGAAAAGGCTTTACCTGCGCAAGTTCGTAGAAGAGCGGCTTTTGAAAAAAATCACCAACTGGACGAATGAACGTCTGCTTGGACGCCTGCTTTTGTTTGCATGTCCCACACAAATCAGCTTTGGAAATCTACAGCAGATCGAGGCCAGGGGTACCAAACACCGGCCAAAAGCGTACCACCTCCCTGCCGCCTAGGGACAGCCACTGCCGCACGACATCACGCCTCTCCCGCCGGCCTCCGCGGCGAGCCACGGGCGTCGTTTGCAGCGCCTCCTCCCCAGCTAAAGCCTCGCCGCCCGGCCGGCTGACACCTACCGGTCGCGGTGCAGCAGCTCAGCTCCTCGCGCGCCACCTCGATGGTGGCGCCTTCGTCGGCCGGCCCCAGGTGGCTCTGCAGTCGCTGCCGGGTCTGGTCCAGCTGTCCGCGCCACACGCACCCGTCACACACGGCCGGGCGAGTGGCGTGTCGGGCACCCGACACGGCTGCCCTCCCCCGTTGCTGGGAGCGGGGCCGCGTGTAATGGGCCTCCGTCCGAGACCAATCTGGACCAAGCGGTCGGAAGCATGTACAACACGGGATTGTTGTTGAGTACATTTTTTGTGAGGTTCCTTTCCACCCGCATTTGCGTGTCACGGGTCACTTTCCACCGTGCCCACTGCCACGCTGTCGCGCCGATATCGCCTGATGCGATGAACAGATTACGTCACAACATGCTTCCGAACTACCAGAATTATCAGAAGCTGCCCGCACCCAATAAGTTCACGATTACGAACACTGCAATGATGTTCCAATCACGTTTCTAAATTTGGCAGCAATGTGAAAAATAGCGAGGAAAGGTAAGACAGTTCCAGGACTCCACTGCAAACGCTTTGGAGGGCGAAGCAGGAGGCAACACCACAGCTTAAAGGCATCAGGGCATGATTACGACTGACAGCTCGCGGTTTTGATAATTGTGTTTTTACTGAATATGCGGTACACAAATAAATATAAGCCCTGATATCTGTATTCACTGACGACCAATTACAGTACCAAACCGAGCATCTACCGACACTGAGACGCACTACAAACGGCGCATGCGCTCACCAGGCAGCAGAACATGCGGCGATACCAACAGAACAAAAAATGAAGCCGAACATAACAAACCAACACAAAAACAGTGGCACACAAACATTCAAATGAAAATATGACGCGGTTGCTATTCATTGCGAGGAAAGCTCTTGTCATCAGCCCAGCGGCCAGGGCCGGTTGGTAATCTGAAGTACAGGGCAGCGGACTGCCGAGGAGTAGCTGGCAATCTACAGAGCAAACCGTCCAAGCATACCACAGCCCCAGCGCAAGCAGGAGCCGGGGTCGCGTGCAGAGGACCAGCGCGGTGCAGGGCTCCGCCACACCAGCGCCGGCGGCACGAGCCGGGTCCGCCCCCGTCCGCGCCGTCACAGCTGACGGGCGGACGGAGGAGGTCGGCGTCAGCGGCGGCACCGGCGGCCGGTGCACCGCCTCCCGACCGGCGGACGGAGCAGGTCGGCGCCGGCCTCCTCCCAGCCGTGCAGCGTCGACAACCGGAGCCCTTCCACCCCGGCCAGCCGCCGCCGACGCCAAAGCAAGGGGACAGCGCCGGCCGCGACACCAGAGCAAGGGGAGAGCGCCGGCCGCCGACGCCAGAGCGAGGGGGAGAGCGCCGGCCGCCGACACCAGAGCGAGGGGGAGAGCGCCGGCCGCCGACGCCAGAGCGAGGGGGAGAGCGCCGGCCGCCGACACCAGAGCGAGGGGAGAGCGCCGGCCGCCGACAAACCTGGCGGATCTGCAGCCGCAACCCCGTCCATCTCCAGAGACAAACCCTGCGCCGAAGTGGCTACAGTCGAGAAGGTCGACTACCGAGCCGCTCCTGGGAGCGACTCCAGCTCCTCGGTTAGGGTCTCCTAAGGAGCGGCGGGCCCGGCGGTTAGTGAGCGCATGCGAGACGGCTGAGCGGATGGGGGTGGGGGACTGCCCGGGTGCGGACGAAGCCCGGCCCTCTCCCCACGTTCGTCGCGCGGACAGCGGGCAGGCCTCGGCTCCTATGACGGCGGCCAGCCGGCTGGCGGCCAGGACAGCGCATCAGGAGACGCGGACCGCTTCAGCTCACAAATACGCGGGGACTGCCGCGCGTCCCGGGGAAGGGCTCCGCATCGGCTAGTCGTGTGGGTGCTGAGTCCATTTGACCTCCCGGGATCACGGCAGGGTGATGTGAGTTCATCACATGCGTTGGCATGCTGAGAACCTCCGGGCGCTGCTGATGCAGTTGACGGGAATGAGAGTGCAATGAGTTGTGCGTGAGCAAGCGGAGAGTTGTGCGTGAGGCACAGCGGTTAGTGTCGGGAGACGTCCAGCGAATGCAAAGGCTTTAGTAAGCGCTACAATTCAAATCATACCAACCAATTCAAAACATTTGTTAGTCTAGAAACAGTGTTGAAAACGCTTCTCCGTCTAACTTGTTGACCGGTATGGAATCCTTCAATTCATACAATGACGACAAGGACATTGATGTGGGTAAGATTCCAGATTTAACCCCAATTCAATCACCGGTCGAATGATTCTGCCGTAGAATGCTACAATGATTATCCACAGCCGGCATAACAGAGCGAGAGACCGCACCGATCACATGCACGGCACGGTATCTACGCCAGGGGAAACGCTCACAGCCCGCGGACGGCCGCTAGCAGGGGTCATACAGGCCGCCTTAGGACTACTAACACCACATCACATCAGTACGGTACGCCATCACATCGGCACAGTACCACATCACATCAGCACAGTACGTCGAACATCACATCAGCACAGTACGTCGAACATCACATCAGCACAGTACGTCGAACCTCACAATCAGCACAGTACGTCGAACATCACATCAGCACAGTACGTCGATCACACCACACCAGCACAGTACGTCGACATCAACACCGCACAGTACGTCGCATCACACCACACCAGCACAGTACGTCGCATCACACCACACCAGCACAGTACGTCGAACATCACATCAGCACAGTACGTTGCATCACACCACACCAGCACAACACGTCGCATCACATCACATGACCCGGCAAGGGAGCCGGCCGGCAGTCACCCAGCCGCCCCGCCCCTGTGTCGGCGCGCCGGTGACACACGGTTAGTGGAGCGGGCAGTCTGCTGCCGTGAGTACCGTTCGACGGACGCCACGCCGCCGCATGCCGCGCCATTTACAGCGGCCCGTCTGGCGCGCGGCCGCGCTCACGGCCGCGGCTCCTCCGACCGGACCTGCGGCGGCCGTACCTGCAGGTGGCGCTCGCGGCGCGCGGCCGCCTCCAGCTGCAGGCGGAGCTCGCGCTGCTGACGCTCGTGGCGCGCCTCCAGCGCCCGCAGTTCCGCCTGATGGGCCGCCTCCAGCTCCGCCAGGGCGGCGCCACTGTCGCACTGCAGGGCGGCGCGCAGCTGCGCCCACAGAGCTGGCCGTCTCCTCGTCCAGACTGACCCCGGCGAGACAGCCTGCGGCGGGTCATGGTCACGGGGAGGTCAGGCAGACACATTAGGACCATGGGAGATCATACTGACCCCGGTGAGAACAGCCTGCGGCGGGTCCGGGTCACGGGAGGTCAGACGACCAGTCCTGGCCATGGGAGGTCCCACCTGATCCCACCAGCGTAGCCAGCCGCGTGGATCACGGCCCCATCCGGGCCACGGTAGGTCGGGGCCGTCGGGATCACAGATCAGAATCACCGCGAAGACAGCGGACGATCGCGCCTGTGACGTCACACCTCCGGGAGGGGACAACAGCACGGTCTGGAGAGGAGCTTCCTGAGAGGCTGCGCCGCGACGCCCCAGACTGAGGCCACCGGACCAAGCAGTCAGCAGCAGCGCGCGCATGACGGCCGCAGAGTGCGGCCCGAAGTTCGGACGACGGCCGAGACCAGGCCCGCGGCACCGACGTCCCCGCACGCGCCAGGTGGCGGCCTGCTGCCAGAGCATGTGTGCAGCGTCACAACGCCCAGCCGGCCAGCGCTCCCGCCCTCCACCTGGCCGACGCGCGCCAACGTCCGGACAGCCACCGCGCCGTATCGTCTGGGTGACGACCACTGACTGGCGGCGGTGTGCCGACTTCCTGCTGACGGGTTGAGGAAACACACGGAGACTTGACACGCTCCCGGGCGGCCGGTTGAATACCCTTCGCCCGGGTGGGGGATTCAATCTGACTCCCCTGAGACCTCAAAAAGTAAAAGGTAGAGGCACCAAGTTCACAGGGTGGGTTGGTCTGTATATCAACTCACTACGGCCAAAGTTTAAAGTCCATAGATGACGACCTTCGGGTCAAAAAAGCTAACATGGTCAACTCAAGACTGGTGTCAAAAGTTCCGAAGACCTCTTCACGCAACCACGTTGAACCTCCAATACCTGTTCTAGGCCAGACGTCGCCAGTGTTCATATTATCCCACGGGCTTTTCTGACCTCGAGAAGGAAATGGTGACCAAAACCCAAGATATTTTGTAGTTTGTATTTGAACAAGCGTTAAGGATGACTCTAGACGATACGTTCGCTAAGACAAACGTTTAATCTGGGTCATTTAAGGTAAGTGACCTACCATGACCTTTCACATGCGCCCGGGTAGCCTGTTCAATACCCTTCGCTCGGGTGGGGGAGGCCATTTACCCCAGAGCTTAGATGCCTGCCCTCAGAAAGAGGTCACCTGTGCTAATTTAAGGCCAGTGACCTTGTTTGATTTTCGAAGGCCACGGTGACCAAAATCATACGAGACTGCTTTGAGCTTTTGCATTTGAATACGCGGCAGAAATTACGCCAGACAGTATGTCCATAAAAACACAATATTGGCCCGGGTCAGTTTAGATCAGTGAACTATTCTGACCTTTACAAAGTTCATGGAAGATGTATAATACGGTTCCTGTTATTAATAAATTCGCAATGAGCACAAGAAAACACTCCATACAGCAAGCTCTAGGGTAACAAAAACAGGTTGGGTTGACCTTGCTCAGGACTTTATACCTGATCCTTGGGCAATGAAATTGGTTAGGACAGTTGTTGTGCTGCCTAAATAACTTCTCAGAGATGTGTAGCTTCGTCTAACACTCCGTTGTTGCATCAGATTTAACCGTTCTCTAGAAATTGTCTTCGCTGAATCCATGGCCTGACTTCGACCTGTCGTAGGCCAGCGATCTTACAAGGTACATCCAAATTTTTGATAGCAGGCGATCCGCTATTCCCTTGGCTATTGCAATGCAAAATTTTTTAGTTAAAAGTCATTCCGGAAAAATCTTCGGGGGTCAACTTGACCCCCGCCCACCCGAGCGCTTGCTAAGAGTCCGGGGAGTTCCTGTGCAGTTCTGTGCAGTTCCTGTTGAAATTCGTAATATGCATCAGAAACTACTCCTAATAAAGCAAGCTCTCCAGTAAAGAGGCGTATTGGTTTAACCTCTGTTTAAACTCCCTGCCTGACCCTAGGTCAATAGAATATGTCCTAATTTTAAATCCCATTGTTTTATTGCCTGACATACCCTCTCACAGATGGCTTCGTCTGGCACTCCGTTGTCGCATCAGATTGGACGATTCTCTATACACTGCCTTCGCTGACAGCTACCCCACGACTTTGACCTACCGTACGTCAGTGACCTTACAAGGTAAATGTAAATTTGTCACCAAGACATTCACAATTCAATTGCCTATAGCTATGCAAATTTTGGCATGGCTACGCTTGCACGTTCAAAAATAACTTTGTAGAAGCGTTCGGGGGGGTCAAATTGAGCCCACCGACCCGAACACATCTTAATTCATCGAGGGATCAGGTCAGACCCGCGCAGTACAACGTATACAGGGGGGGGGGGGAGAGCAGAACGGTACAACCAGCAATAGATGAAAGCACGGACAACTGCCACTGGCAGCACCCGCCTGGACAGGGCACGAGAGGCATCACATAATATCAACCAGGGACCAGAAACAAGATCGGAGCTGTAGCCAAGGCCGGCATCAACCTGGAAACAGAATGGCGCAGCAATTCGGTCAGTCCAACACAGACGGCGATGGCTGTCAACCACCGCGCGACGAGCCTGCGCTCGCGCCGAAGCGACAGGTGGTCTCCGTGTGGCCAGAGGGGAGTATGCAGACAGGAGACAGACAGGAGAGCATAATCCACCGCAGGCAGACAGACGGACAGAGCACCAGTCAAGCCGACGCCACACCAAGCTCTTCTACCCACTAAGGCCGGCCACGGCCTGTCCGGTGTCCCCATGCAGGAGCGGGGGCGAGGGTCACGCGCCCGCCGCCCGCTCAGCTCACCTGCGCGCTGCAGACGGGTCAGGGCCGCCGGCGGGTGCGACAGACACACCCACAGCCTACCCCGGCCCGCGCCCCACTCTGGCTTCGAGGTGTGGTGCGCACCGGCTATACCAAAAGCGACCTACAACCAACTGGTGCATGTGCATTGTGCAAGTCACTCCGTGAGAAACACGAAGCTGATGGAAAAGGCTCGGGAGATTCTGGTCCTCGGAACCAGACGCCTACAGTGCTGTCAGTCCGGCGACCAGACTCTCACCTGTCCCCACACCCACTCCGTCACCGGCGGTATCTGTCCTCTGGTGTACCGTGCAGGCAGCTGGTCACTGGCCAGCCAGCAACTGGTCCAGCCCAGCAGTAAACCTGGCCCATCCCAGCAGCAACTGGCCCCGCCCAGCAGCAACTGGCCCCGCCCAACAGTAACTGGTCCAGCCCATCGCCGCAGCTTCCGATGCACAAACTCCATCTTCCAGCAGCGCGTCTGCCGGCAGCACCGCTCGTCCCATCAGCCGCCTCCAATCATCTCCAGCCCGGCAACCTCCCACCTTCGCCACGAGGCGGCGTCTTCCCACCCGACCGAAGGCCGGCGTCCTCCTAGCCCAGCCCCGGGGAGTCCCTCCCAACCACCTGCGGCAGCCACTGCCTGTCGTCGCCGTCCGCCGGCTCACCTTGATCTGGGTCTCGTAGCCGCTTGCCAGCTCCAGCTTCCAGCGGGCCACCTCCTGGTCGCGGCCGATTTCGGCCTCGGCGCTTTGCGCGCGCAGCGCCGCCAGCTCGCGCTCGGCTTGCGCCGCCTCGTCGCGCGCCGCCTGCTGGCGCGCCTCCAGCTGGCGCACGGCGCGCTCCTGCTGGCGCGCGAACCGCTCCATCGAGAGCCGCTGCTGCTCCAGGAACGCCTCCTGGCGGCGGGGCGCAGCGCCGCTACAGGGGCCGCGAGAGGGCCGCCGGCGACGTGGCGGGCGGGGCGGGGCGGGGGCTCCCGGCGCACAGCAGGTGCAGGGGTCCAGAGACGGAAGGGGAAGCCAGAGACGGGCGTGGGTCCTTCGGTTACATTGCCGATACGGCTACTAAAGAAGAAAATTAAAATAGAAGGATAGAGCAAAGCTTCCAGAACTGAGAAGAATAGCAGGAACACGAAGGGCAGTTTGAATAGGTTGGGGCTGAATTTAAAATCAACTGGGCGTCAGTCAGGTACTGAAGCAGTGAGGTGCAGGTCGCATGAGCCTCTCAAATCGCGAGGAGATGAGCGGTGTTGTGCGGCACAACATTGGGCACGCCCCGCAATTTGAGAACCCTTCACGGTTTACGCGCTGACTTGGACGACGACCGACAGACACGTGATGGCGTCCGTACCCTCGTGAGATCCAGGGTATCGGGAAAATACGCCTGGACGCGGGACACGCAAACGAGAACTGTATACAGATTCCGACCAGACGGAAGACGCGGAGGGGAGAACAACAGACAATGAGGACCAGGTAGCAGACAGACAGACAGTAGATGGTGAGAATGATCGCATCCCGCTATGGCAGTTGCTGCAGGTAACAATACAAATTCTGGCGGATTATTTTTTTTCGTCTCTCTTTTATCTCCTCCTCGCACTTGAATGAGCCAGGAATTAAGTAAAATGCAAGCAAACTGTCATTACGAGACCTACAAAATGACTTCCCATCGACGGCGTATAAAATACCAGGGATGGCAAACCGTGTCACCGCACCGCGTCTGAGCGCAAGTGGAGCGCGTTGGCGCCCATTACCCCGGCTTACGTGAGCTACGGGCGGCCTCAGTACAGCGGATGCCGTAAGCGGACCCAACAGGCAGCAGCCGCTAACAAGATCCTGCGCTGCTCTCCCCCCCCCCCCCCCCCTCTCAGCCATGGCCACGCAGGTCAAAAAGATCGCGAGCAGCGCAAGAACGTGCGGCACAATGCTTCTAAATGCCCCAGACTGCCGCCCCCCCCCCCCCCCCCCCGACGCGGCCTGGGCCCGCGCGAGCCTACCGCCCGCCCCTCCTCGAACCGCAAACCTGGTGATCGCCGCTGGAGCGCCGGTGCCGGCGAGCGCGGTTAGTAGGTTATCCGGAGAGCGTTAGTCGGCCACACCGCCCCACACACACGCCAGGCAGCGGGCGGCAGCGGTTAGCGGAGCCAGACGGGGCGTCAGCTGACCGTCGGCACTCGAAGAAGGCGGTGCGTCTCTCTGACCGGGCAGACCTGGCGGGGCTTGGCAGAACCGGCGCCGTGGCTGTCTGAACGCCGGCCTCGGCCGCCCCGCCAAGCCCCGTGCCCCATACCCAGCAATGTGCAGCGTGCCACGTGCTATGCGCGGTCAGTCACAGTTAACAGCGCGCCCGCATGCGCACAGCAGCGTGCGTTTGGTCCAAAGGCTGAAACCTAACTTCCATTTTAAAATGTGTGAAGTGTGAATTGCATCGCGTGTGTTGGACACCAGTGAGACGGAAGCTGTTGGCCGCCATTCCGTGAGCTCCACATTTTGAAAAATGACACTATTAGCTTGAAAACGAGAGGTGTGTGTGGTGTGTGTGTGTGTGTGTGTGTGTGTCATTGGGGCTCTTACGACGCACCCAGCTGTTGAGGCTCTATGGCGTCGCCTGCCTCTCACCCTGGCAGGAAGGGCGGGCACCGCGGGGAAACGAGAGGTGTTTGACGCCCATGGTAGTCATATCCCGCGCGCGTGCGCTGCCTCCCACGAGTGGGCCGAGAACCCGTGTTGGTCGTCTCCCGCGGTGTTGGCGTGAGTGCGTGAGTCCCACCGCGGGCGGGCCTCCCACGAGTGGGCCGAGAGCCCGTGTTGGTCGTCTCCCGCGGTGTTGGCGTGAGTGCGTGAGTCCCACTGCGGGCGGGCCTCCCACGAGTGGGCCGAGAGCCCGTGTTGGTCGTCTCCCGCGGTGTTGGCGTGAGTGCGTGAGTCCCACTGCGGGCGGGCCTCCACCTGCTCTGACTGGTTTTCTTCTTCATCTCGAACGAGAGGTTCTCCAGCTCGGCCAGCAGCATCTGGCGCCGGGCCGTCCCTCCTCCTCCTCCAGCTGCGGTCGTCCGCAGGCCGGGCGTCGCCGGCGCCGTCGGCTGGACCGGCGCTCTCAGCCTTCTGCGGACGGCGCGCAGCTCACTCACGGTGCTGCCCCGCCCCGCCGCCAGTCATATGCCAGCCGGGGTCAATGTGCTACCCTGGCCCGCTGTCCCTCCGCACGGCTGAACCAGTTCCCTTTCCCTGCCCACCCCACCCTTTATCACGCTCCAGCGTCTGTAGCCGGGCGCAGCAGAGGTCCACCTTCCGACACAGACCAGACCGGTCCGGTCGGAGGGCAGAGCAGCGCAGAGGTCCACCTATGAACAGACCAGACCGGTCCGGTCAGAGGGCGGAGCAGCCGCAGAGGGTCCACACCTACGACACAGACCAGACCAGACCAGTCAGAGGGCGGAGCAGCGCAGAGGTCCACCTACGACACAGACCAGACCGGTCGGTCGGAGGGCGGAGCCGCGCAGAGGTCCACCTACGACACAGACCAGACCAGAACCGGTCAGAGGGTGGGGTAGTGCCCGCTCCGAACACCGGATACCGGTTCGCAGACAGGCGCCCACTTTCAGGCACGACACCGTTCGGCCAGTGACGTGTCGTGCTCTCTGTCAGCTGTTCCGTCAGCGAGCCGCCGATCAGCACTACCTGGCGGCCTGGGCCAGACACCGGCGGGGGCGGCCCGCTCTGTCAGCTGTCCGTCAGCGAAGCCGCCGATCAGCAACCACCCTGACGGCCGGGGCCAGACACCGGCGGAGCGGCCCGCCCTGTCCCGTACCTGCTCCTGGTGCTTCTGTGTCCAGGCGCCTGCACTTCGTCCTGGTGTTCCTGAATCAGCTGATTGCGGACTTCGCTGATCTGCCTCTCAGCCTCCCGGCGGGCCCGCCTCCGCTTCCTTCTTGTACCTGCGGAGAAAACCAAAGACCATTGGAAATTAACATCCAGACCGTTCATGTCTACGTATTGACTCACTTGTACACGTACATGTCGACGATGAAATGAGGCTGCAAAAAGAGACAAAAACAAAACACAAAACGCAGACAAACCCCAAAAATTAACCGATTTTGGTTTGTTGTGTTTGCTTGTCTGTTTTGGATAGAGCCCTTCCGACCAGAAATGATCATTTCAGGTTATGGGATGAAGGAAAAATGGTTTAACGGTGGGGCAGACTCGCATACGCCTGGGGGGCCAACCGCCGGGCCTTAACACGCGCATGGGCGCTGGGTACCCGGTCGGGGTCCCTCTTCCCACGGGGCTCTCGGCTCACTCGTGCCTGACGCATGCAGCGTGCCCGGGACAAGCGGGGGTGTCGCGAGGATGCAGGATGAAGCGGGGACAGGGGATGGGAGGACTGGATAAGTCGACCGAACGTTCCGCTATTCTTGGGTCCATTCGACATGCTGTGGAAAACTACTACTGTCTGGAAAACAGCCACACTACACCCGCACTGACGCAATGCAAGCCAACAAAATATGTGCAAAACTGAGATGTTAAAGCAAAGCTTACCGCTCCACCGTCTGCGCCATTTTCGTCAGGTGTTTCCTCTCGAGCTCGGTCACTTCCTTTCTGTGCTTGCGCTCCCAGCTCTGTCCTGACATCTTCGCGTCTGGGAGGCCAACTTGCGTCCCAGCTGCTGCCGCAAGGTGGCGATGCGGCGCCTCAAACTCCACGCGCAGCCGCAGGACAGATGGCCTGGCACCAGATAAAGATGAACAATCAACGAACGCCAGGGGCCGGTGATACCAGCGGCTGTGACCGACACACCGTCAGTCGCAGTCGCTTCCAACGGAATTCGACAACGCCAGGGGCCGGTGATACCAGCGGCTGTGACCGACACACCGTCAGTCGCAGTCGCTTCCAACGGAATTCGACAACGCCAGGGGCCGGTGATACCAAGCGGCTGTGACCGACACACCGTCAGTCGCAGTCGCTTCAAACGGAGCTGCACCCTAACAAAACACTTTATTCTCACACCTGCTATTGTGGTGAGGTGAGCTTCTTTGTAATAAACTTACGCTAATGCCGCATGGACCCTCATCGCTACAATAGCAGTGTTCAGAATGCGTTTGGCCCTGAGGCCGCTGGTCACCACATATCAGTTACACAGGTCAGTAAACACAAACGTCACGAGGCAAGCCTGTACAGCGACGTAGTATACGCCATTCCTGCGTGCTGGTCACAAACATAGTACAACCCCTGGGTAATGCCAAATCCCGCACAGTCCAATACAGCCTGAAATTATACCGGGGTGGGATATATTGGCCGAGCTCGTATAATCCTACCCCGGATATGCCAGACCGGCAACCCACAATGGGCCATCGATTCCTGAAATACATCTGGCCTATTCCAGTTTACAGGCCTCTAAATCCTGACAGCCCACCAGACCATCTTACATCACCAGCCCACAGCAGGTCAATGAACCCCTCCCCTGGCTCCAGGTGGGCGGCCTGTCGATACACCGCCGACCCGTGGCAGGCGCCCGGCCGGCGCCAAGTCACTGACCCGACAGTGTCATCGCCGTCGGGCAGGCCGAGGTCGGTGAAGCTGCCATCCAGCTCGGCTGTCTCCTCCTGTACGGCGGCTCCGGCGGCGGCGGCGGCGGCGGCGGCGACCGGCTCAGCCACGGCCGGCTCGGTCCCAGCCTGCTGCTGGATCAGGCGGCGCATCTCGTCCGAATACCTGACGGACAGAGCGGGGTCAGACGGCACACCTGACGGACAGAGCGGGGTCAGACGGCACACCTGACGGACAGAGCGGGGTCAGACGGCACACCTGACGGACAGAGCGGGGTCAGACGGCACACCTGACGGACAGAGGGTCAGACGGCACACCTGACGGACAGAAGAGGGTCAGACGTCGCACCTGACGGACAGAAGAGGGTCAAACGTCACATCTGACGGTCAGATGAGGGGTCAACGGCACACCTGACGGACAGAGCGGGGTCAGACGCACACCTGACGGACAGAGTGGGGTCGACGGCACACCTGACGGACAGGAGCGGGGTCAGAACGGCACACCTGACGGACGAATAGGGTCAGACCGTCGCACCTGACGGACAGAAGAGGGTCAAACGTCACACCTGACGGTCAGATGAGGGTCAGGCGGTACACCTGACGGACAGAGAAGGGTCAGACGTCACACCTGACGGACAGAGGGTCAGACGTCGCACCTGAAGGACGGAAGAGGGTCAGGCGGCACCTCTGGCGGACAGAAGAGGGTCAAACGTCACATCTGACGGTCAGATGAGGGTCAAACGGCACACCTGACGGACAGAGCGGGGGTCAGACGGCACACCTGACGGACAGAGTGGGGTCAGACGGCACACCTGACGGACAGAGCGGGGTCAGACGGCACACCTGACGGACAGAGGAGGGTCAGACGTCGCACCTGACGGACAGAAGAGGGTCAAACGTCACACCTGACGGTCAGATGAGGGCCAGGGCGGTACAACTGACGGACAGAGAAGGGTCAGACGACATACCTGACGGAGAGGGGTCAGACGTCACACCTGACGGAGCAGAGGGTCAGACGTCGCACCTGACGGACGGAAGAGGGTCAGGCGGCACCTCTGGCGGATTGAGGTTGGCGCGGACCCCCAGCCTCGATCCGCCGCCAGAATTATCCATTAATGGTCACTATCTTCACACGCAAAGGGCGATTCTCAATATAGTGTAGAGGCATGCGATGGACGAGATGATGGCAGGCCGGGCACACAGTGACGGCAGCGTGTGGACACTACAAACTGCAGCCTTTTCGCGCTTGTAAGATTCCGGATGGATACGACGCGCAGATGGGTGCACACGTTAATTGGATGCTTGCTTGCAAAAAGACAAAAATGCACCTTGACAAGTAACACGATCCATTTACACTAGTCCTTCCAACATGAGTAACATCTCCAAAATAATAAAAGCCGACTCCGGGAGGATTTCTGTAGCGCTGAAATGGCCTGATTTTGAGCAGCTCTTCCCGGGCTTAGCATCAAGGCCGCTAAAGCCCTTCCGAGTGCTCCCTACTTACGTTACCAAACAACAGCGCACAAGATCTACTACTTTAATCAGAGGCCGGCCAGAAATACAGGGATTCTTAAAAAGACCTCGCGGCTCGCTGCGGATGTTGCGCAGTATAGCATACCGCACATGCAGGGCCCCGCAACCGAAACAGTGGCGGCTGGTGCGCGAGGCGATGCCAGCCAACTCATCTGGCAAGTGACGGATGGAGCGGAGCGCACCCAACACCGGCAAAAACGAGCCGGCGCCGCTCAGCACTCGCAACATCACGCTGTCGTCGGACCGTGCCCACAGAGCACACCCGGCTGTCCACACTCACATTTTCTCGGTAAACTTGACCTTCTCCTGGAAGTACTACTCCCGGAGCCCGTCGAGCTCGTGCTCGTGCGCGGCCACCTGCTGCTGCAGGGCCGCTCTGGCGCTGCTCCATCTCCGCCAGCTTCAGCCTGCGGCGGAGGGACGTCTCCACGTCAGTCACCGCTTCCACCACGGAGGGACGTCCCGCAGAGAAAGAGAAACACGAAGAGAAGAGAAACACGAAGCTCCAGTTTTGCGTCACGGCTTGGACGTCACAATGTCTCCCGAGATGTTTGCCTTACATCATGCGGTGAGCGCGAGTTTTAAATTAAAAAAATCGGGCCACGCACGATGTGGACTCTTTAGGCAGACGCATCTACACCATGTGCGAGAAAGATCCGACAATGAGGACCTCAGGGGCAGTATGTATTGGCCGCGGCCGCCCGTCAAAGCGCAGCCCTCCGCCAACCTCAGACGAGCCGCTCGAGCCGCCCCCGCCTGTCCAGTAACTCCTGATCTGACCGTGATGCATCGCGCCCTGCTCCCAGCCCTAAATATAACCGGCACCCACGCTCCCAGGGCGAGCACAGCCTCGGAGGAATGGCTCCGCTGTCGCTGCCTGCAAACCGTCCCACCCGGAACTGGACTGGCGGCTACTCTGGCTACGCTGGCTAGGACGGCTGCGGCTACGGCTACCCCTGCCGCGGGTGGCCTACATCCGGTGTACTCACCGCAGCGCTCGTTCTGCTGGCGGAGGGCGTCGATCACCGCCAGCGGGTCCTCCGCGAGGGGCGTTCCGCCTTCTGCCGGAGGTCAGCCTCCACCTGCGGGCAGACACATGACGTCATCGCTGGCGCAGCCACGACGGCGGCGACCTCCCGGGTGGGCGACGGGGCGGGAGGGGCGTGCGGACGCCCGTTCGGCCCCGGCACTGCGTCAGCGCCGGCCCGGCCGGGCTCCAGGCCGACGGAGTGAGAGCGGCTGCAGTGGGAGAGCGGCGTGGGCCCGCAGACAGGAATAGACGGCAGGAGCCGGCGCCGGTGGCCGTAATCCCCGCGACACTTCCTCACGCACTGTACAAACAGGGGCGGCGGGCGCCGTCGTCACGCACTGTACAAACAAGGGGCGGCGGGCGCCGTCGTCACGCACTGAGCAGACACGGCCAGTGGACACAGGCACGCACTGTACAAACAAGGGCGGCGGGCGGCCGTCGTCACGCACTGAGCAGACACGGGCCCAGGTGGACACAGGCACGCACTGGTACAAACAGAGGCGGCGAGCGCCGTCGTCACGCACTGAGCAGAGACACGGCCAGGTGGACACAGGCACGCACTGACCAGACATGGCGACAGACACGGCGGGCAGGCGCATACATGCATAAACGAAACACAGCGAGGTAGAACGCCGTCACGCACTAAACAAAAACAGCGAGGTAGGCGCAGGTACGCACTGAACAGACACGGCGAGGTAGACGCGGGCACGCATTGAACGGACACGGCGAGGTAGACGCAGGTATACACTGACAGACATGGCGAGGGTAGACCGCAGGTACGCACTGAACAGAAACGGCGAGGAAGTCGCAGGTATACACGGAACAGACATGGGCGAGGTAGACGCAGGCACGCACTAACCAAACATGGGCGGCAGACAAACAACTCTTTGAACAGATGTAGGCGGTGAAGATGTCACGCACGCACGCAAGCGCGCACGCATACGCACACGCACACGGCGGGAGCAGTTTCTTAACAGACACCAGCCGTAGACAAAGTCATACCCTGAACAAAACAAGGAGCAGGCAGCTATTTATTGAACAGATACGGAACGCGGACATGCCACGTGATACGGGCATGTCACGCATTGAAAACTAGCGTTACAACTACACATACTAGGCAACCCACAATCCAAACAGACGGCAGGCATCCACTAAATAAACCAACGCAAATAGCAAATATAGCTCACGATATTACTCACGCATTGGCCAACCACAAATGGGGTAGCAGCGACGCCATGATGGAAACTTACACAGTGAACATATCAGTCAATGAGGCTGACAAAACATAAAAAACGGCACAAACCACAGGGCCCCACCAATCAACAAACAAGCTGGAGATATGCCTCACCGGCAACGACAGGAAAACAACTCCGGCAAAAAACCGGCAAAGAAACCCATCAATAGCTCCCACAACGGGAGGAACAACTGAGAGAGATATTATTGCACAGGGACAATAAATTACAGCCCGAGAAGAGGGGAACAGGACGCCAGCAGTGTTGGAGCAAAAACTCGATCGGGTCGTGCCGCCCTCACGCCCCACACAAACACGGCGGGTCCGCCGCCGCCGGGCGGTGCGCGCCGACGCCGGTCGGACGCCGACATGTGTCACAGTATGTCACCTGCAGTATGTCGTCCCGCTGCCGTCGCAGCCGGCTGTCCAGCTGTTGCAGCTGCTGCCGGTAGGTGTCCTCCAGCCAGTCCCGCAGCCGGCGAACTTCCGCCTGTAGCCGGTCGCGTTCCTGGTCCAGCGAGTCCGGCTCCTGCCGCCGCGAGTCCTCCTCCCGCGCGACGCGTCCTCCTGGCCGTCCGCGGAGTCCTCGCCCTCGTGCGGGGCGTGGGCCTCGCGCCGCAGCTGCGGCCGGGCGCGCTGCAGCTCCAGCAGACTGCGCTGTGTCCACCGCACCGACAGCGCCTGAGGACAGCCGTCGCACTCAGTAAACATCGCACAGAGCAGCCCGGCAAGGGGCAACACAAGCGTGGAAAGGAGCATAGCGTTACTCGATTGGCGTACGGTTTCAAACACCTATAGGCTGTAGTCACAAAAGCCCATGTTCGTACATGCTGGTGAAAAAAGTTTGCGATGATTTTAATTCCTAGAAAACAGAACCCGATATTTACACGCAGTTCACAAGGAGACAGCGTCAAGACTTGGATACTTTTATGGGGCCGATTGATCGCGGGGAAATCATTAAACGGGTTCGTAACGGCGGCTTTGAAACGTCCACTGCCAGCCAGCTATGGAGCAGTCATATCTCGACCTAGTCGGACAAAATTATTCCATACCAGCTCAGTGGCAGCCAAACCATACCACAGCTGCCGCAGCAGAAGCGGTATTTTCGTCATTTTCTTTCATACAACGCCATGATGCTGTCAAGAATGCTACGTGATGCCTTTCATCAGCACAATACAAAGACTCGTGTTATTTGTTCCCGTTTGCCGAGCGGGTAGCCTGCGCTGACCCGCCGCCCCGGCACCAGGCACCGGTCGGTAAGGACGGCTGACCCCCCGCCCCGGCACCAGGCACCGGTCGGTAAGGTCGGCTGACCCCCGCCCCGGCACCAGGCACCGGTCGGTAAGCGGCTGACCCCCGCCCCGGCACCAGGCACCGGTCGGTAAGGACGGCTGACCCCCGCCCCCCCTCCCCCCCGCCCCCCCCCCCCCCCCCCCTCCCCCGCCCCCCCTCCCCCCCCCGCTCCGGCACCAGGCACCGGTCAGTAAGGACGGCTGACCCGCCGCCCCGGCACCAGGCACCTGTCGGTAAGGGCGGCTGACCCCCTGCCCCGGCACCAGGCACCGGTCGGTAAGGACGGCTGACCCCCGCCCCCCCTCCCCCCGCCCCGCTCCCCCCCCTCTCCCCGCCCCCCCCCCCCCCCCCCCCCCCCGCCCGGCACCAGGCACCGGTCAGTAAGGACGGCTGACCCGCCGCCCCGGCACCAGGCACCTGTCGGTAAGGGCGGCTGACCCCCTGCCCCGGCACCAGGCTCCGGTCGGTAAGGACGGCTGACCCCCCCCCCGGCACCAGGCACCGGTTGGTAAGGGCGGCTGCCCTCACCCCCCCCCCCCCCGCCCCGGCACCAGCACCGGTCGGTAAGGACGGCTGACCCCCCGCCCCGGCACCAGCACCGGTCGGTAAGGGCGGCTGACCCCCCTGCCCCCACCAGCACCGGA